CATTACACAATTGTGTTTTCCCTCCTCTCATGTGTGCTACAATGTACTCATTGGGACATTTCAAACATTCCTTAAATACTTTTTTAAAGTAGACGCAAATCACTACTGACCTTTACCTAAATGCAGACAATGTAACTCAGAGTTAGGATTAATTATGTTTTAGTTCAAACTTTAAAACAAGTAAACCATATACCAAGTCCAAAGAAAATCACCACCCAGAACCAATCACTCTCTTTCCAATGACTTACATGACAGAAAAATTTCATTCGAGGAACATTTTAGTGTTTTACTGAAGTAGGAAATCATAAAATTCATATCTAAAGAAGATACCATCTTTGAAAAATAATTTGACTCACTTAATTTTAATATGTTTCATGCATTAAAGTATTCCATTCTTGTTATTTCTAAGTACAGTGAAATACATTTGTTACCACACATTTCAGGACAAAATCAAACCTTTATCTTAGATAAGGCAGCAATTTTACAAAAGAAAAATGAGTGAAGTAAAAATGCATACAGATGGAGAGGAGAAATCACATTAACACAGTGATAAAGTTACCAATTTATCCCTCAGCTCTGTTCTCCCTTTTCCTCATATTAATTAGGCGACTGTGGAGCCTGAAGAATAAATTTGCATAGTGTTTTATCCCACCAAATACAAAGTGGGGAGAATTGCAATTGCTTACTGGGAGAAAACATATTTTGTAAACAGGTAGGCAGTAAAATAAAATAAAACCAAACAAAATCTGACACTTTCTAAAGAGATATGCATTTCAAGGAACAAGAAAAGAAAAGCAAGTGTTCAGTCCTGCAAAAACCCACACGAAACCTTCAAGCACTGCATGTAACACACCGAAGTATCTAGCCCTGCAAAGCCATGAAGCAGATGAGATGAGCCATGAAGGAGATTATCTGGATTCCTCCAACCTAATCACACGAGCCCTTAAAAGCCATAGATTTTCTTAGACATTAGAAAGAGGCACATGGTAGAATAAGGCATCAGAGATTTAAACCATAAGACTAAACCCACCAGCTGGAGAGGGACCACATGAAAAACATGACACAATTCTGGTATCCTTTAGGATCAAAAACCTACCTACTGGAAGGAGCCTAGGACCATGTCCCACTGTAAGGCACTAAATATTTCTTATTTATTTATATGAGAAAGAACAATCCCATCCTTGGGTTCACTCCCCAAAGGTACCACAATGGCTAACAACCGCTCCCAGGAGGGTTCCTACAAGGGCTCCCAGCATGAACCTGGGATTCAGGAACTCAAGCCAAGGTTCCCCCATGGGTGACAGGAGCCCAATTACTTAAGCCATCACTGCTGACTCCCAGGGCCTGCGTCAGCAAGAAGCTGGAGTCAGCAGCTGGAGCTGGGAATCTAAACCCAGGCACTCCAAAGTGTGACACAGAGATCTCAACTGCCTTGCATCTTTATCAGAAATGCCCAAATGCCCACAACTCTGCTGGTATCTTAAACAACCTTGAAAGCAGATCTGTCTTCACAACAGCCTAAAAGGAACAAAGCCCTGTGAACACCTTGAGTTCAGGCTAGTGAGACTCTAACAAGAAGATCCACGTGAGTTCCAACACTGCAAGTACCCAGCCTTTTTTTGCCTTCAACAGTGTTATAATAAATGTGTGTAGGTTCAAGCCATTAAATATGTGGCAACTTGCTTCAACAGCAACAGAAAACCCAGTACAATCATCAAGGACCTTGACACAGAAGCAAATCAATCCCTCTGGCCAAACATTGTGGGTCCACTCTCACATCTCCTTCCCGCGGTCCAACAGATGAAAGTCTACTGTGATGCAGCAAAGAGAGGCCCCGCACAGAGACCTTCCTCCTCTTTCCAGGAAAGGAGTATGTTGCTTCAAGATGGATCTGAAGGAAAGTTAAAGGGAGGTGGAGGGAAAAATTCACTGTTCTTTTAGCCCATCTGTAGAGACAAGTGCACCTTGCTGAGCAGTGAGACAACAGAAGCTGCCACCAGGTTGGCCTTGAACATCTCATACAGGCCACTATCTCAACTCACAAACGCTAGAGCCATCCACAGCGTAAGTATCCCTTTGGACCTGAGTGCAATTATTCTAGAGTAAATACATGAACCTACCTATGGACTCATAAGAAAGTTATCTTTCTGAGGACTTGTGTGTAGTCCACTTCCCACAACATATCTCACATATGGCTCAATAAATGAACAAATTTGTGAGCAAAAACAAACATTAAAAAACGAGAATGTAAACAGAAAGCAACATGACATGCAGCATTTATTTGTTTTCATGCAAAGTACGCATTGATACATGGCATGGATATTTATAAATAAGAACCTATATGATGAGAGTGCTTGGCAACTTCTGGCGAAGTACACAGTTTTTCACAGACACATCCTCCTGCTTGGTATGACTCTGATTCCTATCCCTGATCTACAGAAGAAAATGTCAATCTCTATCATTCATGTCAATTAAACAATCGACTTCTATCCTCTGAGCATCTAATGTATCCCAGATACTTCTCAAGTGTGACCAATAATCACAAACTATATGTTAAGAGAACTGAAATGTGCAGAAGCTAAATAATTCAGCCATGATCCATGCTGAGACAATATTTGAACCAAGATCCAGCTGATTCCAAAATCAGGTCCCTGGCACTTCATGTACACTTTCCCCACATTGTCAAAAGACTATTATTTGAAAGTGATTCTGATACTAGAGGAAGGCCCCAGAAGAAAGTCAGAATATCCCTGACTTAAAAAGGGGAAAATACTTTGAAAAGGCAAATCAGAATTTTAAAAAGAAGAAAAACATTTATAAAACCTTCTTTCCTAAAGCTTCGCAGAATCATATATAAATAAAACAGTTTCTTCTCCCATAACCTAACTGCTGCCCCTACTGCAGCTCCTGGCACAATTAACCACCCATGTGCAATGGTAACACACGTCACAGCTTTCCACCATTACGCATGCTGAAATTTCGACCAAGTGGCAGGATACAAGGGGCACTCTATGTAAATCAAATATCACTCTCAATACTGCAAGTAAGGCTCTGCTTTACTCCATAATAAGACTCATATTAAAAATGTCTGAAAATCATTTCATCCCAAAGGCAGCGTCCAAGATCAGCTTCACACGGAACAACCCTGACCACTGACCATAATCCCAGAGCTTCCTCTCCTGCCCTGATGCAGACAGCTCATGATGCAGACTGGGAGATGCTGCACACACCCCAGAGATGCGAAGCCGCCTTAATCAACACCTGGCCCTGAACCAGCTGGTCCACGAGACACAACCGCCACACGACAGATGGGACATTAGCTGGCTGGTGGCTTTGAAGGTGCATTTCCATGTGCTCCCAATGTTGCTAATCCTCTCAAAGGAGAGATATTTTCAAGTTGAAACTTGGGCTGTTAATTGTTAGATGAGGGCTAGACTATTACTCACATTCAGTACAATTCAAACATCACATGAGTGAAGAGATTTTACTGGGTCATGCACACAATAGGTGTTTAATGAACAAATGCAAGAAAAACAGAATGAATGGGCACCAGAAAAAATCACCGTATCTCCTAAAAATATCACTTTTTCCAAAATGTGAACTATTTCTGCTGAAGGAGTGAGCATTTGATTTGTGCTAGAGTACCTAAAACATTCCATGGAAATGGTTTTGTAATAACCTCTTGTATCAAATGTAGTAACTTTTGACCTTCTAAATCTTCCAAGGCAAAATATGCTGACAGACTACAAATTTCTGCACAAATGAGCTTATCTAACTATGCAGGCCAGTTACTTGGGGCTGAAAACATCCCTACACAGACATAAATCTTATCTGAAATTATAATACAGCAACATTAATCAACAGAATCACAGGCCTCTGAATAAAGCACTCACGGTATTTTTTTTATGGAAAAACTGAAACATACTACCTCAGAAATCAAACAAATGCAAATCTTAAACATTAGAGCTAAACCCATCATACGAACTGACATGGGTACTTACCCAAGAAACACCCAGGGGTCCCCCACCACACACACACACACACACACACACAGAAAGAGAGAGAGAGATCTTCCATCCACTGGTTCATTCCCTAAGTGGCTGCAACTGGATACTACTAGGCCAGTCCAAAGCCAGGAACCAGAAGCTTCTTCTGGGTCTCCCATTTGGGTGCAGGGGGCCCAAGGATTCAAGACATAATCATAATATGGTGACCATATTGGATGCCAGTGCCACAGGCAAAGGTTTAGCCTGCATGCCACAGTGTCAGCCCCTGAGCTAATGATTCCTAAGCTGATTAGACTTTGTTGGTTATTTTTTCTTTCAAAGCACTTTTATCACTGGACATGATCCTACCCAAATTCCTAGGCTTGACTGTGACAGCCCATAAGGTCTCCTTCCTGATGGGTTTTTAAACATGAGACACCTATCTTCCCATTAATGATTTCAAAACTTTTTGTTTTAAAAATCTGGAGAATTTCTAATTCAAATAAACTCTTAGAATTTTAACATATGGGCCCGGCAGCGTGGCTTAGCAGCTAAAAGTCCTTGCCTTGAACCCACTGGGATCCCATATGGGCACCTGTTCTAATCCTGGTAGCCCCACTTTCCAACCAGCTCCCTGCTTGTGGCCTGGGAAAGCAGTTGAGGACGGCCCAAAGCTTTGGGATCCTGCACCCGTGTGGGAGATCCAGAGGAGGTTCCTGGCTCCTGGCTCAGGATTGGCACGGCACCGATTTTAACATAAGAATTTTAACAAAAAAAATAAAAAACAGCAGATCCTCTCTGATTAAAAAAAGGCATAAGGGCTTGGATTCAGCCACACCCAACTCATTCTTTCTCATTCACCCTTTGGGGAGAGAGCCCAAAAGTTCAAAAAAACACTTAAAATGCACCACCGAGCTAAATTTCATCTCATGTTTCTACAAAAACAAACTCACACTGTCCCAGGAAGAAGGTCACATTCCACAAGCATTAGTGTTTAAGGCTTCCCTAACTCACCACAATGGGCTTCAGGATGTCCATGTTGGAACGAAGCTCTCGCTCTGCTGCATCCAGTTTCTCCCTCGGTAGACCACAAAGCTCAGAAACTTCTTGGTCGTCAAGTGGAATCACCTCTTCTAATTTTGATCCATTGCACAGATTGGTCAAACGTAGCTGGTAGCCTTGCAGAAAAACCTGGAAGCATTGCATGCAAAGAGAAGCAAAACAGGAGTACACAAATGGGAAGCTAGGTCCTTGAACACTTCGTGATATGCTTGACTCAGTATCTCCCACACCCTTGGCAGTTTTGCAAAAGAGAAAGCTTGCCTGAGTCCAACTCCTTTTTGCAGCAGTGAGAACACATGATTCAGAGAACAGGAAGGAATTCAGAGTAGGAACTCCTGGAACCAATTTTATTAGAAGAAAAATATTCTGACAATTTCAGAATTTATGTGTTAAACTGGAATTGGACTAAACCGTGAAAAAAAAATTGTACTATTTATCTGTAGATACAGATATTTAACTAATACACAAAACTACATTCAAGTCACTTATAGAATTTGGAATTCCTCTTTTGACTTGCTCAGAGCAAAGTGCCAGAAAGCCTGGCCTCTATCATCTCATTGATAGAGCAATTGTAAGTCATGCTTACCTATTCATTAGACTATATCTGTTGGATAGATTATCCCTGGTTATAGTGTGTCTTTCTGGGCCCAAATCAATGGTGATTCTCCATGGACACAGGACTCTCATTGTTAAGCATGCTTTGTAAGAAGAATGCCCCTTATTAATCAGGTTCTCTTTGTAATCACAGCACCCAAACAATATAGATGGTAAATATCTGTTTAACAGGAAGAATGAATGATGCAAACTCTCAATCATACCATCATGAACTCCCTGCTAGCTGAAATGAGTGTGACCCAAGCTGCTTATAGAACTGCCCAATGTGAGTGAGAGAACAAAGCATCTCAAAACCCATGCAGCTTTCTAAACACTAGGGAGCATTTGTCCAGCCATGATTTCCAGCAGATCTTTACCTGCTGCCAGACACTCATTGCATTTCAGGTTCACCCCTTTGGCAACAAGTTCTTGCTGCCTCGCCTCCTTCATGTCTGAGTTCAAGCACACTGACAACACAGAAGTCTCACTTACTGTGCAAAGACCACCTCCATGCTGAGGATGCCCCTTATATTAAATGGAGCAATTGTAATAGATATGAAACTGGCAGAGGACAATGGAAATTGTGCTAACCGCAACTATTCTCAAAAGCCTGCTGTCTTTGGCCTACCTCCCAAGCACCAAATTGGTAAACACGAGGCATATTTTCCTAGTTTCACAAGGGCAAGCAGTAAGCACATTTTTCTAATTTTAAAAATTCTAGATCATGTGAAGCAAAAGCCTTATGTTCAAGGATAAGCATCTCCACCACTTCTGCTTACCGCGAACACAACCTAGCAGATTGACACGAGACACGATAAGGAAGTGGCTCCATTTCAGCAAGAGAATGAACTTGAGAAGTCTCTGAAAAGTCAGCAAGCATGCAATTTGTTCTGCCATCCACTCACACTGCACAGGAGCCGTGTGACCACTCACGGTGCCAGAGGAAGCTTTGTAAGACCCAAGGCTCAAACTCGGCGTGAACACGAATATTACTTCATCAATTTATAAACTGGAAAAAAATTCTCCTACATCTTTATCTTTGACAGAAGCATGAAATTTGTTACATGGCTTTAGATTTGATAGACGAGCGGCTTCCAGTCAATAATCTTTAACCTTGGCTCTGTCTCACAGCTGTAATGTTTTTGTAAATGTCTAATATATCCTCACTTAAAATGTAACCCTTTTAAGAGGAAGTCGTTACAAATGCCAGTCCACCCGCAGGAAATCAGTTTTATTTCAACCAGCTGGCCCTAGAGACCAGGTTGCACACTTCACTCTCCAGAAGGCTTGGCAGTTCCTGTCTAGGCAGGGTAGTGAAATTAGGCAGGGCTGAATTTGGTGCTCTGTCTCCTTCCCCATCATGACAAGGACAGGAATTTATTCAAGGCTTTCCCGAAGCTCCAGCTCAATCAGCCCCACTGGAGACACTGAAGATAGCAGCTTACCTTGTGGAGACTGACATTAGCCTTCAGCATGTTGTCCACAAACGGCTTAGGGAGAGAAAGGTTGTGATGCAGGAAGCCAGAAAAGGTTTCATTGTCTGACAGAAAATCCTGAAGCTTCAAACCTATCAAGAAAGTGTTTTTAATAAATATATAAATACACACACACTCACAACCACAATAGGGCACGTAGGAAAAGCATCACAATACCGTTGGTCTTCTTTCCAATGGGATTGCAGCTTCTGCTGTGTTTAGGAGAGCTTGGCCTTACCAGGAGAAGCATGCACACATTGCTTTCTGATAACATGCTGAGCCACAGTCAAGGTGCGCTCCCACACCCACACAGTGTATCAGTGCTGTGACTCCCACACGTACGCACTCCACCCCACAGATGTGTGACATCAGCCCCCGTACTCCTGCTTTCCCATTGCCATCATCTCACAAACCTAAAACGAGAACTTCACAGCCTTATTCCCACAAGCCACTGGGGCAGAGCTCCTCTTAACGCACAGCAGGAAATGGTTAACAAACTTTAGGGAGCAGCAGAATCACCTGGGGGATAAAACACAAACCACTGGACCCTACCTGCTCCCTACAACCCGGCTGTTCTAGGCTTTCTGACTCACTGAGCTTGGGAAGAAGCCAGGGCATGTGCCATCTAAAGGGCTGTCAGCAATGTAGGCAGGTCTGAGGTCCCCACTTTGAAGCACTGGTTTAATGCATTGTGCTTTTCAAAACACGTCCACAATCAAGGAAATTTTCATTGCAAACATAAAACATGCAACAGGAAAATCACACATCCAGGTCGGCTTGCCTTAGAAAAAGATGGAAGCATATATTAAAAGACGAAGCCTACTAAATGATTTGATTGCTAAAGGATTTTTTAGAGAATCTCCTTCAATCATTAACCATCTGAGTCCATTTAGAAAAGGTTCCTATTCAGTGTAGCAAAAGAAAAAGCACTGTCAGGAACTCAGAATTTTAGTCCTCTGGGTTGTAGGTTATGGCCCCTGGGTATTTCATATCATTTTTCTGAACGTCAGTTTCATCTCTAACACATTCCTGACTATGTGCTGAGCAGGGACCCTCTGACTCTGAAGCACTATATTTTCTCACTATACTTCATTTCATTGTCCACCTGTTCTCTCCCTTCCTACCTCCTAATTACATAACTTCTTCCCAATACAGATAAAAACCAGCTTCTCCTGGTCCCATGGCCAGGTGCCACCATTTGCAAATCAGCAGCCCACAGAAGCATGCACTAATCAACCTCTAGGGGGCACATTTTGCAAACCCAAACTTGCGTGAGGACTAACAGGTTTGACTTGAAAACAGGGCTACAATGTGAGGCTTCATGAGCGCAGGCATTCATCCTATGAGGCAAGACAAGAATGCACCTAGATGAAGTAGCAGGAGGCCCTGTATAGTAAAACTCAGACTCTTATCAGGGCTGCATGATCCAGACAGGTTCTGCTGTAAGCATACTCCAGCAATACAGAGTTATAAAAACTAAGCAAGATTCACAGCTAGAGAACTCATTCTCTATTACACCTGGCTAGCTCCTGGGTATTACTCAAGACATCCAGAAGCTGTTTCTATGCACAGTAAGCAGGTTTATGAAGAGTCCAGGGATGCCAAGACCTTCCACAGATCATAGCCTAGAAGTCAGCAGGACCCTTAATCACAAAAACTGTTTTTCCATGGTCCTCCCAAAACCTCACTGAGAGGAGAGAACATGGAGCAAGGTAGGCAAGCTGGTGGCTTCCATTGAAGACTGCTCTGAAAAGGCAGGAACTGACTACTACACAGCGACAGGAAAAGCACCATCTCACTGAGAATCAGAAACTTAGATTCCAATCCCATTCCCTTGCCAGGTCGTGTCAGCTCGCTTTGAGCCTCATCTGTAAGATAAGGGTCAAAAAAAGACCTCCAAGAATCCGAGAAAAGAAAAAAAAAAAAAACCAGAGTAGATATAGGAGCTCACCCTTCTTGACCAGGAACCACAGATTCCTCTGAAGTGCAGAGTTGTATACCACACAGCCCTACAGAACTCTGGACAGCCCCATGTAGGACAGAACTGCGGGAGGCTGACCCAAGCTGTCCTTGACATGGGCCTAGGTCATCCAGCAACACTCTTGAGACCAGTGGGTGTGCTCAGTTTATTTGTAAGACTCTTCAGTTAAGTCAACAGTCTGGGATGGGAGCAGCTGGATGTGATCATACTCCAAGTGCCTATCAGTGACTCCTCTGGAGAAAAGAACCAAAAAGGCCGAACAGTCAACAGCTCTGCATGTGCACTGTGTCGTAGGATCACTGGGTAGGGAAGCAGCAGGGAGGGCCAAAGATCCCTGGCTACAAAGAACTCACAGTCAGATCACATGGATGTGCACATATGTGGGTGTAGTGTCAGCAGACGCCAACACTCGCAGCTGCTACCCGTGTACACCCAGGCACTGGCTTTCAACCTTGGCTGCCTGTGAAGCTCACCAAAGCTCAGACCATAGCCCAGAACAATTCATCAGAACTGCCCAATTAAGACCCATGCATCAGAACTTTTTAAAACTTTCCCAAGCAATTCTAGCCAAGTTTGAGAAACAATGGTGTCGAAGAAAAATCAGGAGTTGAGACCAGAAAAACCTAAATCTGCTGCCACACTCCGCCGTGGGTTAGCCGTGTGACTGTGGGAAAGTTGCTTTGCTTTCTGACCCCACATTTTGCTGCCTGTGAATGAAGACAACAGTATCCACCCTACACATTTATGAGACTAGGGACATTCATGCATAAAACACCAACAGTACGCAAGTGTCGCAACTGAGAGTTTTGATATCATCGAAAAGGGCTTTTTTTTTTCAACTCAATTCAGTGTCCACCAATTCAGTGTACAGAAAAGGTATGGTGAGAAATCCCTTTCTTTAAGGACCTCTCAGGGCTGACAAGCAAGCTAAAGAGGGGAAGCAGCAGGAAGCCTAGGAAAGGCAGAGGAAGATAGTCCCTGGAAGACAAGGTTTATCTACAAGTACACCAAGGGGGGAATTGGGCTGGAGCCAAATCCTGATAAAGGAGAGAGGGTGAAAAAAACTCTCCTGAGCTGCGGTTGCTGAGGCGACAGTAATCCCACAGATGGCAGGAAGCAAGACACCTTACAATCAGTGTGGGCACGGAGTAGGTCCTCAACAAAAGTGGATGAAAGAATAATAAAAAAAAATACAGAGAGGAGATTCTTGAACACCGAAGCTGTGGCTCCTTTCTAGCCCCTGACAATGATTTCCTTGAGTACCACATAGATCAACCAGCAGGTATAACATCTTTTTCCCAAAAAGAGGTGCTTTCACAGTTGCAGTTAGAGAGAAGGCAAAAGTTCTGGATTTCTATCACACTGCAATGTGACTACAACTAACAATAATGTATTGTATATTTCAAAATAACTAGTAGAAAGGGTTTTCAGTGATCTCATCAAAAAGAAATGAAGGGCCCGGCGCGGTGGCGCAAGTGGCTAAAGTCCTCGCCTTGCACGCCCGGGATCCCATATGGGCGCCGGTTCTATCCCGGCAGCCCCACTTCCCTTCCAGCTCCCTGCCTGTGGCCTGGGAAAGCAGTCGAGGACAGCCCAAGGCTTTGGGAACCTGCACCTGCGTGGGAGACCCGGAAGAGGCTCCTGGCTTCGGATTGGCATAGTATCGGCGCGTTGCACTCACTTGGGGAGTGAATCATCGGACGGAAGATCTTCCTCTCTGTCTCTCCTCTCTGTATATCCGCCTTTCCAATAAAAAATAATAAAAATAAATCTTTTAAAAAAAAAGAAATGAAAAATATTTGAGGCAATATCCATGCTAGTGACTCTGTTTTGATCATTACACAAGATACATATGTATCAAAACATCACATTGTATCCAGTCAATATGTATAATCGTGTGTCCATTAAGTAGAAAAAGTTTGAAGAAATGCCTTAAGGGTCAGGATTAGGACTCCAAAGTCAACAACACTTGGCATAGAGGCGGTTCTCTAAGGTGTGAGGCATACATGAACACATTCAAGTGAAAAAGTGAATAAATGATGAGATCTGAGAAAGCGTCCATTGTGGAGAAGTTGAAGATGGCTGATCAACATGGACCTGGGTCTTCTGATCTTTAAGAATGGGCTTGGGGAAGAAGCCTTTCCACCCTCGGAGGGTGGAAAGCACAGTAGGTCAAGTGCAGTCGGCCCTGACTACAGTATCACAAGGTCTGAATGCAAGCCTGAGCTTGGCCACTTCCTGAGCAGTGTGACCATGAACCTCGTGCTCTCCTTGATCTCTCTCTCTGAACCTCAGTTTCCACAGATTGGAAGTCAGGCTAATAACACACTCAGGTTGTTGCAAAACCCGAAGCTCAAGAACTTGAAAGGGCTATCGCAGGGCAAAGAGGTGACTAACTTCAAGTATTTACATGGGAAACTGGGAAGGTATGTTCCTTCCAAAAAAAAAAAAAATAGGCAGACACCAGGGAGCTGGGTACCAGACCTGGGCAGAGTCCAGGCGCAACAGGGAAGGCTAGAACCCACCATTCCCTGCAAAAGGCAAGAGCCTTTTCTGCCACCATCTTTTCACTGCCGACCTAAACACTCCATCAGCTGAGCTCAGCCTCCTTGGAGGAGTAAATAACAGCCCACCAACTTCCCAAGGGCTGTTCTGTGGGTGCAGTGAGACAAGGCAAAGGAGGGAGAGGAAAACATCTGAAGAGCCTGTAATCTAAAAGAGAACAAAACAATGGCATGAAATGCATGGCTGTGGGCTAGGTCAAAGGAGACAGAACTCTCACGTTCTGGCCACACTTTCAGGTCAGGCCTCTCTGGTCTCACAGGCAGGGGGAGGGCTATGGCCAGGGAGAGGTCTTTCAAGCCCTCACTGCTGCCCTGTCCTTCCTCGCCAGCCTGCCTGTTGAGCCAGACCTGGCTCCACCTTGGGAAAAGAAGCCTCAGGAGGAGAAAGGAAGGCACAAGCAGGAGGGAAAGGCTAACAAAGGTTGGGGAGGGCTAGGGAAAGTGGGGAGGGTTGGGGAAGGGGGGAGAGGCTGTGCAGGAAGACAGGAGGAGGAAAGCTCCAGGCACAGCGGCCAGCCAACCAGGGTTACTCTCGGTCAGTGCCCTC